ATATATATATATATATATATATATATATATATATATATATATATATATAAGATTTTATTGGGGAAATTGGAGAGGGGAATGGTGTTGGGGAATCAGGGAAGGGGAGCAGACAAGTTGCTGTCCTTTTGTTCTTCAGTCTAGTTGTGGAGAATGTCACCTCACTGGCCCGTGTTGGTATTATCATTGCGCTTTTCCCTGATGAGGCAGATCAGTCGCCGGCCTCTGGATGGCCACTCACGGCGGCTCTTGGCAGCTCACACCGGCTGCCAGCTGCTCACGCTGGCTGCCGGCCACACACAGTAGCTTATGGCAGCCCACTGCAGCAGGGGCTGCAGCCTATGCCATTGCCGGTGACTCATGGCAGCCCAGATCCAGGTTGAGTTGTTGTTCACCATCTTAGCTGTAGAGGGAGCAGCATCACTGGCCCTCATGTGGGATCCAAACCAGGGCCCTGCTACACAGAGCTGGCGTCCCAAGCCAGCTCTTAACCAACGCACCACTCAGCCGGCCTGCCCTCATATATTTTTGATGGGATTGTAAAACTGGTACAGTCACTTTGGAAAGCACTTTAGCAGGTAGTCAAAAGGTTAAACATAGAGTTCTCATATGACCCAGCAATCCCACTCCAAGGTATATATCCAAGAGAAATGAAAATATATGTGTACATAAAAATTTGTACACAGATGTTCATAACAGCATCATTCATAATAGTTCAAATGAGGAAGTAACCCAAATATTAATCAACCGATGAATGAACAATACATGGTAAATCCATGCAATGACATATTATTTGGCCATTAAAAGAAAATGAAGCACTGATACATGCTACAACATGGATAAATCTTGAAAACATTATGCTAAGTGAAAAACAGACTCAAAAGGCCACATAGTGTATGATTCTATTATATGAAATGTTCAGAAAAAGGCAAAGTCGTAGATATAGCAGGTAGATTAGCAGTTTCCAGGGGCTTGGGTGAGGGGGCAAGGCGAATGACTACTAATAAGTATGGGGTTTCTTTTGAGGCTAATGAAAATATTCTAAAATTAGATACTGGTGGTGGTGGTGGCACAACTCTGTGTATGTAAAAAAATGCCACTGAATTGTCTTCAAAAGGGTGAATTTTGGGCCGGCCGAGTGGCGCGTTGGTTAAGAGCTGGCTTGGGACGCCAGCTCTGAGCAGCAGAGCCCCAGTTCGGACCCCACATATGAGGGCCAGTGACACTGCCCTCTACAGCTAAGATGGTGAACAGCGGCTTGACCTGGAGCTGGGCTGCCGTGAGTTGCCGGCGATGGCATAGGCTGCAGTGGGGCTGCAGTGGGCTGCTGTAAAGCTACAGTGAGTGGCCAGCAGCCGGCGTGAGCTGCCAAGAGCAGCCATGAGCGACCGTCCAGTGGCGGGCGACCCATCTGCCTCAGCCGAGAAGAGCGCAATGATAATACCAACATGGGCCAGTGAAGTGACATCCTCAACGACTGAAGAATAAAAGGACAGCAACTTGTCTGTTCCCCTTCCCCCGATTCCCCAGTGCTGTTCCCCTCCCCCAATTCCCCAATAAAATCTTAAAAAAAAAAGGGTGAATTTTATGGTGTGTGAATTATATCTTAATAAAGCTATTATTATAAATAAGTAAATAAGGGGACAGAGGCTTTTGATGCATTTTGCCCAATCATGTTATAACACATTGTGCCAATTGGCATTCCTACCAGGTGTGTTTCAGATGGTTTCAAGGCATCCTTTTCATCTTGGATGCAGTCTTTGAGAGACATTCTGTTTGACTTTGTCCTTCTTAAAGAGTGGTCCAAGGAATACAACACTATGCTGTATTCCAAATGTAACTGGATTTGTTCAGATAAAAGCAGGACCATCACCAGCCACTGAGGAAATTTGTCTATATTTTATAGCCTCCTATGATCATTTTCTGCAAAGGCATAATGTTCCTGATGAAAATTGCACTTGCAATAAAATATTATTGCACCTGGGCCAGCACATCTCTAAATAATCAGTTGTTCCTTGAGGGGAAGAAAAGTGTCTCGTGCATTGCAACATCTCATATATAATTTACACTCAACAAATACATATAGATGATCTGTAAACACAAATCTTAAATTATGAAGTTATTCAGTGATACTCACCACAGAGTCAGAGGGCTGAAGTGCGCAGCCACTGATATGGGATTTGGTACATGGTGGCTCTTTGATTAGATAGTCCACAAAATAAGAAGGACCAAACACCCACTGGTATGAGACAAAAGTTAAAAACAAAAATCAGACTTCTCCATGTGGAGAAACGACTGGGATTTGGCAGCATTATATTTACAGAAACCATGTATACCCAGAGTCAGTGTTAATACAAGTTTCCTGTTATCCCTGTAATTCCCACCATGATCAAACCATGTATTATAATTTTGCTATTTAGAAAACACAATCAGCATGCCTTTCTTCCCTTCTTAATGATTTGAATGGGCTCTAAAAACCTTCCTTTGGGTGAGCTTATTTTTCCTCATGTAGATTTGTTTTTAGATTAGTTTTTCTTTATATGATGGATATCAACATAATTCAAATACAAATGAGCCTCCATTTCCTCTAACCTATAAAACTCCACATTCACTCCAGGCCTTAACATGGAGCAGAAGTCGACTTGCTAAATGGTCCATGGTCAATCAGATATGAGAATGTGGCAGTAAGAAGTGAATCTCAGTAGAATAACCCAAGGAGACCATGAGTTCATTTCTATTATTGCCTTAATTCCAATGAAGCAAAATGAAATCCCATAACTCTTGTGGAAATCTCATAGAATAACTCAAAAACCTAAATGTAACTGAATGTGCATCAGTCTACTAAAGTAGAGCGTGAAGAAAGGCTCTTGGGTTCTAATCAAAAGGAGTGCCTTAATATTCTCCTCTCAGTTTAGAATCGATAGCAACAGTCATGAGACACACTGTTAGTGTAAGTGGGTATTTCAGCCTCACCTGGCTAGAAGCCCTGGTGATTTTGAAGAGAGAATACTGCTTCGAGTTCTCGTTGTTGTATTTTCCAAGAGACTCAGTGGCAGCTTCCAGAACTCTGGGGTCTGACAAGTCAGTGGCAACGGGGCTGGGGCAGTCAGGGCACATATGGTGAATCTTTCTTCGAGAAACTGTTGGTGCCAAAGAGAGCAATTTAAAAATAAAACTTTTTAATTATTTTTAATCCTATAAATCATATGACCATAACAGAAGCAGAGATTGAAAAAAAAAAGATAATACTCAGTCTGCAAGGATGGAGTGGAAAAGGCATTACTGGAATGAAACTTGGCTGTCAGCAATGAGTTTTCTGCAATGAGCATGTATTATTTTCAGAATTTATGAGAAATCAAAGTGAGATTTTTTTTAATTGACATAAATTTATTTATGCTAGGAATTTTCTTCAAAAACACATAATATGTGTTTATATTTCCCAGTTAGTAGATCAATATCGTCCATCATCATTGCCTCTGTAAAGCAATTGAGTGTCTTAAAAGGTTGGGGTTTTATTGTTGTCATGATTTATTCACCATTTTGTTCCCAACACCTGAGATAATGTGTAATACCTGGTGAGTGCTTAGTAAATAATGGTTGAATGAATGAATGAATGGGTGAATGACATATGGCAGATGGAAGCACACCCTCTGTGGTTAGAAAATGCAGAAAAATGCAGTGAGCCAGAAAACAAACATTGGTCAAATCACTGTGTAACTGGGGGACTAACCACTCTAATGGTACAGCCAGAATTTCTGACTGGGAGGAGCAAAACTAGTGTGAAAATCAGGCTAGTCTGCAAGTTGCTTTTGCAGAGCAAACACATTGTTTTGATCAATTGTGTGTTTATTTGGGTGTTTTGGAATGTATTATGGTGGAGTTACGTCCATAGCTTGTCACTCCTGGTACCATCCCCAAGTGTTACTTCCTGACCTCCCATACCTCCAGTACCTATGGCTTCCATTTGAGTCCCAATCTGTTTTATTAGTTGTTGCTCTCTAATTTATTTAAATAAGTCTAACAACCAGGAAGCTCAAACTGTAGCTAATAAAATATTTGCTCTGTTGTCTTGTCCCTCAAACAAACCAGCAGCATTGTTATGACCTGGAGCTTGTTATGAATGCAGACTCACAGGCCCTGCCCCACACCTATGGAATCAGAATCTGCATTTGAACAAGACCCACCAGGGGAGTCACATGCACATAGTAGTTTGGCAAGTAGCCATCCTGTTTTCCCATGCCTTGGATGCTTGCTTTCCAAACTACCCAGGATGAATGCATGTGCATATTTGAATTGTCACTAGTTTCAGGCTCATTTTTAGTCAATTTACTCAGTTTATTCAACAGTATTATGGACTCCTTACACTTGATAGGAACTGGGGGAGGGTTGTAGCAGGAAGGAAGAAGGGATGAAATATTCTACATGAAATAAAATACAAGACTTCAAATTAAGGTAGTGCATGGTCTGTGCTCCATGAGTGGTTAGATTACAGTTCAATTGGAATGAAAACAGGACAACTTGTTCCTTTCCTGAATAGAAAACATTGGGGAAGAAGCAGCATTCGCAGTGGTCCTTAAAGAATGGATATGAGTCCCAAGGGCAGAGGGTATCAGGGGAGGGCCTCCTCAGGGGAGAGAAAGGCACAAGCAAGATGCAGAGATTGGAAAGTGCAATGTATATTCAGAAAATATACAGGCATCCAGTTGAACGAAGTGCAGAGTTGGTGTAGTCGGGGAAGTAAAGGCAGAGATAGCTAGAAAGGGGGCCTGGGGACCCGTGTAGAGAGGATGCCATTTATGTCAGGCTAAAAATTTAGGGTTTAATGTAGTACTCAAGAATATACTATTACAGATGATTTAGAAAAATTAATTGTGGGAAGAACAGTGCAAATTGAATTTCACAGGGGAGGAAAGTATTGGTTATATTAACCTGTTCTTAGTATGACTAGGAAGTAAGGATGGGAGAACTCTATACACTCTGGGCATCACCCTAATTAATACTCTTTGTCCATCCTTTATTAAAACGAATGAAACCAGAGTACTCTCTTACCTGGGCGAAGAGTACAGTTGTAAGCAGGTGAATAGATAATTCTGCTTGGCCTGTTAATGTAAATTATTGCTTTGCATTGACCATAAACCTGGAACCAACAAACACATTTTATTATATGGTGGAACAAACTCTGACTTTTAAAAATACTTCCCAAATGAAATTGGACATTTTATTTTAAATAATGAAAAATTTATGATCAATTTCAGTGGCTTTTAGTGTGAGAAACTGCCAGCTGATCATCAAACAGTTTAACCTTCTCCTGGAACACAGGTAGACTCCATTTCCCAGACTCCTCCCCAACTAGGTGTGACTGTGTATCACTGAGTTCTAACTACACGAAGGTGAGCAGAAGTGATTGTAAGCACTTTCAGGTCTGGCCCATGAAGATCTGCCACGTACAATCTATCCTCCATATTCTTTCTATAGCTTGATGCAGATGAGTATGCAAATCATAGAAGCTACAAGTTGAAGGTGGCAGAGTCTAGAGCCAATTTATGGAAGGAACCTGGGTCTCCAAGTCACTTCTGGAGGAAATCCCCCTCTTGATCAGTAATGTCCATTTTGAACTTTACATGAGTGAGAAATAAACTTCCATCATCTTGGAATCAGTATACACTTTTTGGGGTATATATTATAGCAGCTAGTGTCACTTTAGCAAATATAATTCACAACAGGGTAAATAGACTATTTGTTCTTTAAAATCAACTAGGCACAGTTTGACAAATTTGGTTAAATGACTACAAAAGATAGCTTGACAAAATAGTTTACTTCTAAACACAATCCTGTACTCATAAAGTTTCATATCAATTAATGCAAATAACTTAGGATAACTGAGAATCAAATGAAAACTGACTATATTATTTTCAAGCCTCTTCAATGATCATCTTTAAAAGGATCAATTTTGAGGCCCTTTAGGTTCTATGATACTAGGAAATCCTTTCATGGCACCTCTGAGAGTTCCCATACTGTAAGCCCTTCCTCTCCCCAGCCTCAAACTTCATATCAATGTTCATTAAAACAAAATAAAGCAAAATAAAAAAGCTCTCCCTTTATTGCTTCTATAATCTTCATTAAACACACAATCCAGAGTGTTACACCTCAGCTCTTTTCCTTACATTTGAACACAGGCTCGGAGCCTGTAGGAGGGACTTGGAAATAGAAAACAATTTGGCGGCAACTTTTTCAAATCTGGGGTCATAACCCCAATGGGACCCTCAGAAACTCCTCTGATTAAAGCCTGTTTTGTCTAGTAGAATTGGAATAATCACCATGGGCACCATGCCCAAGAGATTATAAGGAAGGACATTTAAAAGATGGCACACATTGAATGATCTTCACCCTGCAGACAGAGAACATCTAGTTTCTCCCCTAGAGTTCCTGGATACAAGCACTTACCGTTTCATGAAGTGTCCTCGCCTCACAATCCTTCCATGACTTCTTGCTGAGCACATGGCAGTCAGTCTCTAACACGTCCAATGTGAGATAGTACACAGATCCCTGAATATTCTGTGAGAAGGGGTAGAGAAAAGAAATACACCACATCTCACATGAAGCAGAAACCTCTAAGGACTGGCCGAGAAAGTCTCTGGTTTATAGCAGAGCTAAAGGCTATAATGTTCTTGACAATTTCTTATAAATGGCAGGACACTGAACAAGTGTCAGATTAGGATACTATTAGCACTTCTTCCTAGTAGCAATAAGAGCACGTAGCGTCCTGGAGCAGAGAGCAGCAGAGTGTTCTCAGATTTCCAATTTGGAAAGCACCTGCCTCTGGGTTCCCACTCCACGACTGTCTGCCCCAGCTTATGCACACACCTGCCCCAAATAAGGAACTGTCACTTGCCTGTCTGTGCTGTTGGACATTGCTCACTCGGTTAAGACTCAGCACATAGCCGTCCGTTCTGTCGCGATTGATGTCCTGCAGGGCGAAGCCAGCCACTCCCAGCGCCTCGGAGCTGTTGCAGCCAAGGGAGAGGAGAGGGGTGGGCAGGAGCGTCTGCATGAGCGGCGATGTCGCCACGCAGCATGTGGCCAGCGCGTAGAGCACCAGGGGTAGGAGCAGACCCATTCTGTAGGGAATGAGACCACGATGGATCAGAATGTGCAGCTACAGGGATGGGCTGCTTTATAGGGCTCTATAAGGCCAACCTGGGCAGTTTTGTAATCACAATCTGAACTGGTGACCCAGATGTGAAATTCAATGCCCCATTTTATCTCCTTGAATTCTAAATGTGGGTTTCCAAAGAATCAGTACTCTGGATGGAATTTGCCAATGTTTCTAACCTTAGACCCCTGAGCAATCTCGTATTCATGTGTTCCCGTAAGCAAATTGAAGTTTCCTAACCTTTTTCTAAGTAATCATAATAAATACTGGGTCAAGGCTCCTGGAGGGTCATGACTGGATTCTGGTTTCTGCCCAGGCTCCACCTGAATCAGAATATGTGGATCATCAAGTTCTCCCATCTCCCCTAGCACCTTTCCTTCAGCCAATATCCTAAGCCACACTAATAGTTACCCCAGCCTTGGAGCCTGGGGTCACAGTGCCAGTGGTGCTCAGTGAATTCAGACTTCCTGCCTGACCTTCCGTGTTCACCATTCTTGTTAGGTCAGGGAAACAGGTCTAACCCCACATCACTTACATGAAACACTGGTGAGATTCCTGAAGCACTTTGGGATCTAGATAGGAAGTGGTCTATATAGTCTCATGTAGGTCTTTTTTTTTTCTTTTAAAGATTTTATTGGGGAATTGGAGGGGGGGAACAGCGTTGGGAAATCAGGGAAGGAGAATAGACAAGTTGCTGTCCTTTTGTTCTTCAGTCTAGTTGTGGAGGACATTGCTTCACTGGCCCATGTTGGGTTCACTGGCCCATGTTGGTGTTATCATCGCGCTCTTCCCAACTGTGGCAGTCGCTTGCCAGCCATTGGACGGCCGCTCACGAGGTCTCACGGCAGCTCACAAAAGCTCATGCCTTCTGCTGGCCAGCTCCACTGCAACCTATGCAGTCGTCGGTGACTCAAGGCAGCCCAGCTCCAGGTTGAGCTGTTGCTCACCATCTTAGCTGTAGAGGACTCAGCGTCACTGGCCCTCATGTGGGATCTGAACCAGGGCCCTACTGCTCAGAGCTGGCATCCCAAGCCAACTCTTAACCAACGTGCCACTTGGCCAGCCCTAATGTAGGTTTTTAAAAACAAAGGCTTCAGGGCCAGCCAAGTGGCGCGTTGGTTAGGAGTTGTCTTGGGATGCCAGCTCTGAGCATCAGGGCCCCGATTCAGATCCCACATGAGGGCCAGTGATGCTGCGCCCTCTACAGCTAAGATGGTGAACAACAGCTCAACCTGGAGCTGGGCTGCCTTGAGTCGCCGGCGACAGCGTAGGCTGCAGCCCCTGCTGCAGTGGGCTGCCGTAAGCTACTGTGAGTGGCTGGCAGCCGGTGTGAGCTGCCGTGAGCCGCCGTGAGCGGCTATCCAGTGGCCAGTGAGCGACTGCCTCACCCAGGAAGAGTGCAATGATAATACAAACATGGGCCAGTGAAGCAACATCCTCCACAACTAGACTGAAGAACAAAAGGACAGCAACTTGTCTGCTCCCCTCCCCCAATTCCTCAATAAAATCTTTAAAAAAAAGATAAAAAAAATAAAACAAAGGCTTCATTTAAGTAAACAGAGAAAAAAATATGAACGGTATATAAATAATTCTTACATCATACTCCAAATCTATACTTCCTTCTTTGGAACTGTGTGGAAGCAAACTGGTAAGGAGGTTAAAACCTAATACTACTGTTAAGAGATAGATAATCATGGGCAGGAGGGCTTGAATACCAGCAATACACTGGTCGGACTCTTGCTTTTCTCTTTCAGCTTTTACATGGGGTTGAGAAAGCTTCTACTGATTGGAACGGTACAAAACACAAATACCTTTAAACACAGACACACTCCAGAGGTAGTTTGTTATAAAAGAGCCAAAGCTGGAGGGAAGCTTCTAGATTAGGCTATCACAGAAGTTATTCCATACAACCTTAGTCCATGAGAAATGTTCCCTACCCTCCTCTCCCCCCAACCGCACCCTCACTCCCACCTCCTACCCTTTTGTCATCAATGTTCTGTGCTCAAATGAGTCTGGGAACTGTTGTATCCACGTATGTACAGTCTGACCGAGTCTCAACACAATTAGCATGTTAAAGGATCCCCAAAGCTTTGAGGTGAACAAACCTATTTATACCACTATTTCCTACACTTATTTGACTATAAGACAGATTTTTGTAATACTTATTATTAACCTACAGAATAGTTTTGGAATTGCTGCACTAGTAAATAAGGATAGGTATCTTTGAGTTTTTTGATAAGAAACTGATCAGAGGTATGAAGATTTTGACTGGAAGCGAAGATATTCCAATATATTGAAAGAAATGTCCCTCTAGACTGAACCAAAACTCAGGATGTGGTGGGCCGTTGCTGGTAACAGGAAACTAAATATAAGCAAGGCATTTAACTTTATGTTTATTTAAAGCTTTGATTTCACACTAAATATAATGATTTGTGTTGCTAGTTAGGATTACTGTAATTAACTATTGTGACACAATTTAAATTTTTATTAAAAAGTTGGGGAGAAAGTAGTCTTTCTCATTTGATAACCAAGCTCTTAGAGAGCTAAGTCATGACATTGTAGGTCACTTGGCGGTAGTGCATAGACTTACTGAAAAGTCCCCTTGATGGGAATTTAATGAATGTAACCAGTACATTCCTCAGGTGAGAAAACTGAGGTTTAGGAAGGTGGAGTGCCTAAACAAAAGTCATAAATGAATTAGTGGCAGAACCAGTACAGAAACCTTCTAGTTTAGAATTCTTTTCATCAGACCAAACATTATTGCAATAGCCTAGTTGCAACTCTTTTAATTACCAAGTGAATGAACTTGGAAAGTCCTTTAACCACTAGCATAAGCCTCAGTAGCCAGATCTGTAAATTGGGCTAATCATTGCACCTGACTCATAGGAGATTATGTACCTGGAGGGCTAGACCCATGCTTGGCACACAAGGGTAGCTATTGTTATAAGTATAATCATGGTAGTTAGCTGAAATTCCACAAGCCCTTACTGAGCACATCCGCAATGCCAGGAGCTGGGTTAGGCTCTCTGCAATAAAGGGTTAATAAAACTAACGAGCATAATAAGATACAGCAGATACAGCCCCTAACTAATTTCTGCAAGCAAATGAACAGTTTTTGAGGCTTGATTTACAAACCCAAATCTAGTGATCCTAGCTCCTTAGAGATGGGAGGTAGGCATTATTTTCAAGTAGGAGTAACACTAGGAAAATGTCTATGAGAACCAGAAATGGGTATGGAAACTAGATGTTTAAATTCTGGGTACAACAAAGATTTGCAGCTAGTGCGTGAACAAACACTCACAGGCCTAGAGTGATGATGATGGGAATAAAGTTGGGAAGGCCCAAGGATACAGGAATGGAGAGAGGCCAGAAAACAAGACAGTCTGAGGCCTGAGGAAATGCATCAGATATGCATCAGTGTAGCCCACAACTGCAACCATGCAGAAGTGACAGGCGGGACCCAAACAATCAGATTAACAGGGGATCAAACACTGATGGGAGAGTAAAACAGACTTTGACCCAATGTCCTGGTTCAGTCTTAGCTGTGTGACCGAGGGCAAGGGGCATAAGCGTTCTGAAGCCCAGTTTCCTCTTCTGTGAAGTCAGGTTTAGAGCCACACAATTGCTAAGAGCCCTTTCAATTCTGACATGAAGGTATTCCTGCCTTTCTCTTTATCCGACATCATTCTATTTCCAGGAGATATCACTCTTCGAATCTGATATACTGGCCCATGTTCACCACCACCCAGGGATCTGGGTTTCAACCCAGTCTCAAACAACTGAGCCCAGCCTCCTTCTAGAATCTAGGCTGTGGAGTCTGGGAGTCCTGCGAGAGGAGCAAGGGAAACAGGCCAGTCTTAGGGGTCAGACTTGGGTTTAAATTCCACCTCTGCTATTAGCATGGTAGGGGGCCTAAGAGACTGGGTACACCATAAAATTTAGTTTCCCTCCATAAAGAAGCAGCATTTGGGGCGGGCCGAGTGGTGCGTTGGTTAAGATCTGGCTTGGGACCAGAGGGCCCCTGGTTCGGATCCCACATATGAGGGCCAGTGACACTGCCCTCTACAGCTAAGATGCTGAACAACAGCTCAACCTGGAGCTGGGCTGCCGTGAGTCTCCTGAGATAGCAGGTGGGTTGCCATGGGCTACCATTTGTAGCCAGCAGCCAGCATGAGCGGCCAGCAGCCGCAGTGAGCGGCCGTCCAGAAGCCGGCGACTGATCTGCCTCACCCGGGAAAAGTGCAATGATGGTGCCAACTTGGGCCAGTAAAGCAACATCCTCCACAACTAGACTGAAGAATGAAAGGATAGCAACTTGTCTGTTCCCATCCCCCAATTCCCCAATAAAAATCTTTTAAAAAAAAAAGAAGCAGCAGCATTTGTAGTGTTCTCTCTCTCTCTCTCTCTCTGTCTCTCTCTCTCTCTCTCTCTGTCTCTCTGTCTCTCTCTCTCTCTCACACACACACACACACACACACACACACTGTTGCACTCACTTATAGAAAGGGGAATATATTTCCTCTTTCCGTGGGAGCCCCACCCCAGGCACACTTATGTTTGGTCCCCATTACGTGTGGGGATAATTCTAGTACCAGAATAGCAGTGAAGTTTCAGCATAGGAGTGAAGAGCAAGTCCGTGGAGACAGGCCAGCCTGGGTTTGAATCTGGGTTCTGGTTTAAGGTAATCCTCTAATCCAGTGCTTTCCAATAAAAGCACAATGCAAGTCACGTGTTTAAATTTCCTAGTAGCCACATTAAAAAAGTAAAAAGCAACAGATGAAATTAACTGTAATATTTTGCTTAACCCAACGTATTCAACATATTATCATTTCAATCTGTAATTAATATAAAAATATGAATGAGATCATTTGCATTCTTCGTTTCACACTTCAGTGCACCTCAATTCGGGCTAGCCTTATTTGTGGTGCTCAGTAGTGACATGTGGCCACTTGATTAGCTGCACAGGCTCCTCCCTGCCAAAGTAAGGTGGCAGGAGCACCCTCTCCTGAGGTTGCAGTAAGTCATAGGGGAAGTGCGTGCCAGGCACCTGGCACAGCCCTGGCACACAGGATGCCTGGGGACAACATCTGCTGTCAGACTTGTGACTGCTCCTTGTGGTCCTTACCTTGTCTCACACAGCGCAGATCCCATGTGACTCTCCCATCAGTCTTGTTCTAGTCTACCTGCACGGAGTGACCACCAGGTGAGCCAGGTTAGGAGAAACAGGGCCTTGGTTTTCCTTGAGCCAAGAAGGGGCAGTACCATGCCTCCTGGCTCCCCGCCTCCTGACGCAGGTGAGATTCAGGGCAGTGATTTAGGATTGATTTTAGAATAGGACAGGTCAGACAGGTGACGCATTGTTTGCTGCAGAGCTGGGTCAGGTGTGGCGCGTGGGATTAGATCTCTGGGGAGTTAGAAATACTCGTATAGGTACCAAGTCTTGAGGGTGGTGTGTGTACTTAGGAAATTGTGCAGCAGCCACAACTCTAAAACTATCAGGCTGGCACTGAGCTGGTGAGAGATGATCTCTATAGCTGGTTGGTCTGTTTTTCTCTCTCTTACCCTTACTCCTTTATCTTTTCTTCTTTCCACAAATACTGAATAAACACCTAGTCAATATGCTGCCAAAGCCCAGTGTTACAAATAATAGCTAGCCCTGATGAGGACTCAGCATGTGCCCAGCCCTGTGCTAAGCACAGTGTTCCTTCTCTCATTTAAGGTCCACAACCAACCCAGGGCTGTAGGTACCACGATTATTCCCATTGTACAGATAAGAAAAAACAAGGAGCAGAGAGGTTAAGTAACTTACCCAAGGTCTTATAGACAGGGTTTGCCTCTAATTTACATGGCTTCAGAGAAGAAGGCATGTTCTTTCCCTCAATGAGTGGATAGTAGGAAAGCAACAGGGGGAGAAACTGGCTCAGCTGGGGAAATCAAGAAAGACTTCCCAGAGGAGGTGACATTCTGTCTTTGGCATGAAGGATGAATAGGAGTATGCCTGATGGGCAAGGAGGGAGGGTGTCCAAGGAAGCAGGAGCAGGAACAGTAAAGGTAAAAAATGTGAATTACATAGTTTACCTACTATGTCCTTCCAACCCTTCCAGCTGTCCCCTCCATAAACTGAATGGTTATTTGTCACTGCCAATCCACCCAGTAGCCTCACACCATCTTTGGCTGTCTATCTCCTAAAGTACCCTATTTCTGGTGCCTCTTTTCCTATCTTACTTTTATGAATCATATTTAGACAATGTATGGAAAAAATCAGAACGTTTAGAACACATTTTTCAGTATGAAAAATATTCTTAGGACAAATCTGCCTTATAGCATCAAGAGTGGGATTTCCTCTAAGAATCCCTATGGTGATGTGACCTAGAGCACAGACTCTGAGCTTGAACAAATCTGGGTTGGAATCCCAGCCCTACCACTCATCAGCTGTGTGACCAAAGAGGAGTGTCTCACCCTCTCTGAATCTCAGCTTCCTCAATGATAAATTAAGGCCACAGTTAACCCATAGGATGGATGTGAGGATAAGGTGGGATCCCTCACAAATGTGCCTGGCACAATTTGCCCTCAGCATCTCACCAAAAATATTTAAAAGATTAGATGGGAAGGTGGGTAGGATCTCCAAACCCATATTTCATACTCACAGTTGTGAATGAGGTTGGAGGCAGCAGTGCCAGTTTATGAAGAGATGTCAAGGATGTCTCAGCTTTGCAAGTCACACATTCAGGCTTTCCTGAGGACCCAGGGTCACTCAGCCTGGGGGCTGACTCACACTGACCCGATGCACAAGGAACTGATGTATAAACCAGAAGCCTGATGGTTAATCGACACTGGGGAGGTGTGCCTCTCTGGCGTTTCCCAGCAGGGCTGGACAAGTTCTTCGTCTCTGATCACCCTTTTATATCCTGAAAATTGACTCATTGTCACTTCAGAACACCAGGCAACAATCCGCTTGGCTGAGCTGCAGCCTTCATTAGTGGCTTCCACTGCCAGGTACACACCCTGGTTCCTAAATTAGAGGCAGGGTCCTAGGCAGAAGGCTAAACTTTAATTAGGGACAATCTTTTTCTGAGGAACCACCTGGCATCTCGATCAGACTTGGGCACTTCCCAAATTGCCACACCAACACCTTTACAAGGCAACTTGGAGGATGTGGCCTCCCTGCAGATGGCTTCCTTCACCCAGAGGTGCTGGTTCTCAGAGGTTCCACTCCCAATGGGTGACTTTATTGCTACATTCCAGCCTAACCAGTGCTGCCCATACACTGACCAAAGGAAAAAAGGGAGTTAACACTGCTGAGTGCCTATCGCATGCCAGCACTGCTGAGCCTGAAGTACTTACACTTAATCCATGTAAAGCTGTGCTGGGAGGTGTCTTTACTCCCATTTGATGACTGTGCCACCCCAAACATGTGTCCTTTCCAATGTGTGGTAACATCTGCCCAATTAATATAACCAGAACGTGACTGCATGACCCAGTCCCACAGAGGGGCGGCAGCTCTAGCACGTTTCCTATCAGTGGAAGCTCAGCCATGATTCAGTTGCTTCTTTTCTGGATTTGGCCTGCATATTGGGGATTAAGGAGATTCTGATGAAGAAATAAAAGGATATGAGTTGGAGGGTGGGGGAAATGGGTGATGGTGGGCAAAGGGTCCAAATGTCTACCTGGTGGTCACTCCATGCAGGTAGAATCAGTTCTGAGGATCGGGTGCACAGCATGGTGACTATAGTTAACAATGCTGTGTTGTATACTTGAAAGTTGCTAAGAGATTAGATCTTAAGTGTTCTCACCACAAAAAAAAAAGAAAAAAAAGGCAAGCATGTGAGTCGATAACTAACCTTATTGTGGTAATAATAATATATACCTATATCAAATCATCATGTTGTGTACCTTAAATTTACACAATGTTTTATGTCAATTATATCTCTGTAAAACTGGGGAGGGGGGATGGCTATAGGACAGCCAAAGTTGAGTGGAGGAATGAGGAGGTGTGTTCAACAGGAGAGCTCACCAAACTCTATTGGAGGGAGGTATATTTAGTAATAATTAAAAGATAATCATAAATATAAATAAGATCCAAAAGATAAGTTACTCAAAACTGCCAGTACTATTTCTTTTTGTATAGTTTTTACTTTGGGAACCATGTTAATGTCTTACATATTCAAAACAATTCAGTAAAACTGGAGGGGGAGGGCTAAAATCGAATACAAACAGAAACAAATGATCCTGTGTTCTAAGTGAATATCAGACACAGTGAAAGGAAAAAAGAGAACAAATTCAAGTAACTTTAGAACACAAGTCTTTGATTATATGTCATCAGTCTAAAGAAAAAAGAAACGCAAAGAAATCTTGAACTCTACTTCATAGGTTTGTTTTTCCATAGTGGAATGGATTTAGCAATTCCTAAAACAATTTTGTGTGTTGTAATTGTTATTGTTATTTTGCTGTTTAGGAACCATGGTTCTCACGAGGGAAGGGTGGGGTGCAGGGGAGTGAGAATGAGAGAAGACAAGGAAAATTCTGTGAGTTTGGTTTGGCTCTAGAGGCAGCAGAATGAGTTCATGATTTTACATAGATAGCATGAGTGAGAGTTGAACCATATGAAATTACCACTTTTTCTAATTGTGTCCACTTCAAAGGCCTAGGAGCAAGGGCTCTCAGTAGCAGTGAGACCATCTTGTGCTCAGATCTTGGTTTCCATGTACTATTCGCTACCAAACGCAACCAGACGCAACCAAAGCTCCTTGAAGAAATGGCTGATTCCAGGGGAAGGGGAAGTACAAGATGTCCTTGTGACAGGAAGTAAGGAAGTGCTCAAAGAATAAGTTCATGTAAAAAGAAATCACTTGAAGGAAATCCACTGTAATACCTGAAACAATCTGAGCATCAGAACAAATGATGTCAGTGAATTACAATCTATTGTGACTAAAAGAGAGATTCATGAGTCCATACCGGTACTAACTAAATAAGGAAAAAGGAAACACTTTTGTTTACAATAAAATGTGAATTACTAAGTACAGATGAAATAATAGAGTTAGAAAATCAACATTGTAACCATCGTTATAATAACTAATTCAGGCAAGAATCATCAATGTAGTAGGATCCGCAATAATGAAGATTGACTAATACACACACATGATGCCACAGGGGCACAGAGAAGAGGCAATTAAAAATTAACCCTGTCTGCAGCACATTAGAGGCGGGAATGAGGTCCTGTCCTCCAGTATGCAACCCCTAATTATGCCCATTCTTGGGAATTACCACTTACCCACTGAACCAGCAGTTCCTGTTGGTGCTATAAGAGGAAGGGTGGATGGGGAGACAGAGGGGAGAAGAGAAGAGGGATGAGAGTACAAGGGTGGGTGAGCAGAGGGGAGGGTGAAATTGTACATTTCCTGCCCTTTCCCCCCTATAGCAGTATCTTCCAGCTATTAGGAACTGAATAGAGAAGGAAATTTCTGAAGTCATTTTCTTTGTTTTCAAATTATGAGCATGACCTTGCCGCTTTTCAATGTTCAAGAAACTTGTTAAATTTCCTTTAGTTTCAAAACACAGCTGAGACGTCCTGGGGGACTCTGAGCAGTACCTTAGCAGTCCTGGGTGTGAGTTCTCAGGATCCAGGTGCTCAAAAAAGCACACAGAGAAAACAGAGGCTGTTTGTTAGGAAACTCCTAGGTGAGACAATGGTCTGCAACACTCATTCCACCCCCCCCCACACACCCCCGGGGAAGTAAGTAAAGAATAAATAAGCTTTGAGGGATGTCCCTTTAGGAAAGATTTGGTGTTGCGTCTCCAGAGCCAGGCTAAAGGAGTTGCAGCTGAGCTGGGCAGAGACCTATGTGACTCTGTCAGAGGAAATGATGTGCCAGCTTTTTGCGTCTCTGTCAGAGAATGCATTAATTTATCCCTAATTTTCTAGAAAACTGGGAAGTTGTCATGAAATCACAGGTTCTTTAAAAAGAACAAGGAAGAGTTGGGGAGAGGGTGAAAAAAAATGTCAAGTTTTATGCAGGAAGCTGCTCAAAAGCTTGAGAAATTGTCCCTGTAACTTTTGTAAGAATCAGTTTCCTCCTTTTGGAAATAATAATAATAATAATAATAAAATCTCTCTCTGAGGGTTGATGAAATTGGGGACTTTGAGACACTGGAAATGTGTATTCCTGTTCTTCTTCCCACAAGAAGATGCCCTTCCTACATGCTGTGGGATGTATATTTTATCACACAATGGTGCAGCGTTAGAGATTGAAGTGTCCTTAGATGTTGGGTAGGTCAACCCTCATTTTCTTTAAATGACATAACCACAGTCCTAAGAAATTAGACGACCTGCCCAAGATAACGCATCCAGCCAGAGGTTGTCCCACGACCGCTTATGCGGCGCTCTTCCCAGTGAGTGTGTGATATTTTACCCTTCATCATGGATCTTGTTGGGTCAATACTCATTCAGATAGATAGACTATTATTCATTAACCACTGGGCAAAACCAATATACACCCCCACAGCTTTGGTCCAGTTGTTGCCAATGCAAGGGTCCTTGGTCTCCGGTGGCCTTACATCAGAGGACAATGACCTTAGGCTTTGACTCCTCTCAGTGTGGACACTGGCCTCAGAGTTGGGCACTCCTGAGTAGGGTAGTGGAAAAGCCAGAGTTTATAGTGGGGTACACCTATTGGATGCAATCTGTCACTAGCTATGTGACTTCAAGCGTAGGTACAATTTATTTTCTCTGATACCCCGTTTTCTCATCAAACAAATGGGGATAGCATGCATATTTCACAGGACTAACTGAGATCATGCATGTGATATATGCCCACCCAATCATGTCTTAATGTTTGGTAATTTTTGTCTTCTTCCTTTTGGTCCAAAAGCATTTATGCCTATTAATAGAACTGGATAAAGGGCTTAGAGAAGTCACTAAGAGTTATTTAAGCTTTTTTTTCTCATTAAAAGAATATTATCAAAGCAATTTATGTGCATTATAGAAATATAAAAAAGATGAGAATATTCCACTGCACTATTAATAGTTTATGACTATCCTTCTATATTTTCTTCTATGCATATATCATACATATTTTATATAAAAATAATGTAATACTGTACCTATTATATTGTAACTTGTTTTTAAAATCCCACAATAGATTATGAACATCTTAACATATAAATAAACCCACTTGTACAACTTAAATTTTATTTATTATATAGCAGTCCATTGACTGTTGATTCAATTATTCAAATCAAATTCTCTTTGATAGACATGTATATTGTTTCCAATTATCTGCTATTATAAACAATGCTACAATTAACATTCTTGTGGGTAAACCTTTGTTCACACCCTTAATTATTTCCTTAGTACAAATGCCTAGGAATGACTGGATTAAAGACAATTCCTAATGTTAAAGTTTTTGATAGAATTTGCCGCATTGCCCTTCAAAAAATTATAACAAATAGTATTCACACCAGCAGTGTATAAAACGCTAGAGAATGATTTTCAGTTGAATGTGCCAAGCTTGGGTTTCTCAGCTCCTCAGTGGACAGATGAATCAAGACTTTGGGGGATAAGAAGGAATTTCCTCCATTCAACTAATGTGCTAAGTTTTTTTTCCAGTGAATGAAGTAAGTATTCTGTGACAGGCACAATGCTAGATGCTGGGGATAAAGAATTTTAAAAAAAAATCCCCTGCCCTGAGGAGATTACAATTCTGAGTGATATGTCTAACCAAAAAGGAAGTCTAGGGGTTAGCTCCTATCCCAGGCCTGGACAGACAGAGGGGACAAAAGGAACTAGCAATGACTTCCTGGGGGAGGTGACATCGCAGACAAGCTTTGAAGAGTGAATAGGAGTTAGTTCCATGAAGACTTGG